GAATAATAGTTTTTAATAGAAGGAACCAACTTAAAGGGGACACCCTGCTGGATGGAGCAGCGGACCTGTCGGTTATTCTCAGAATCTCTGTCCTGAACGTTAATGATGCCCACCTCTGTACCAGGTGGCACGTTCTCAGGTATGGGGTTAGTTAGTGATTTCAAATTGATGGCTGGTGGGTTGTCATTGACATCAGTTATATCTATAATTACTGTACAATAAGAGGTAAGACCCGGTCCGTCCTTTGCTCTTACTCGCAGCTCTATTGAAGTCTCCGTTTCATAATCAAGTGACCCGACAACTTTTATCTCTCCTGTCTTACGATTAAGTGAAAACAAAGATACATGCTCATCAGAGACATGATCGAAGTTATATGTAATATCACCATTTGGGCCAGTGTCTGCATCAGTTGCGCTCACTGTAACCACTACGGTATCTAAAAGAGAGTTTTCAGGCACACTGGCTTCATAAACGGCCTGGCTGAACACTGGGGCGTTATCATTAGCATCCAGCACAGTGATGTGAATAATCGCAGTACCTGATCTCTGAGGAGATCCACCATCTACAGCTGTAAGCACTAATTCCAGCTCTTTCTCTTTTTCTCGGTCTAATTCTTTTACCAAAACCAATTCGGAATGTTTCCTTCCACTAACATCTGTATTTACATTAATGGTGAAATGCTCATTGTTTTGTAAATTGTAACGTTGCACAGCGTTTGTGCCTATGTCGGCATCGCGGGCTTCCGTAAGTAAAAATCTCGCTCCTTTGTCTGCCGATTCTGTTATTTCAATTGAAATCAGATCCTCACTAAACTCTGGCGCGTTATCATTTATATCTTGCACATGAATACTGATGCGATGAAGCTCTAAAGGGTTTTCCAGCACAAGCTCCTCTTTTAAAAGGCAGTTGGCTTTTTTACCACAAAGACTTTCCCTGTCGATCCTGTAACTGACAGTCAAATCTCCGGTGCTCAGATTAATATCACAATACCTTTTATCGTCCCTGTCTGTGTCAATGCGGACTTTACGCGAGGAAAGAGTCGCAATCCCAAGACCCAGATCTTTGGCGATATTCCCTATCACAAATCCGCTTTTCATTTCCTCTGCGATAGTGTAGCTCACGTCTCCATGGGCGAAATGCAAGGCCACCAAAAGGAAAACCACACAATAGCAATTCATAGCCAATCTTCCGTATACTGCAGTTCCCATGATCGATCAAAGTTTAATCTTTTCCTGTAAAATTCCTTGAAAGTGATCAAAAATAGTGCTCTTTTTAAATACTCTAAATAATCCCAGCGTTTGCCTTTTGTAATGCCCTCAATATAGACACGCTACACCAAAATAAGGCTTTGCAATGGCAGAAAAGAATGGATGAAGAATAGAGACCTCCTGTCTTTGTTGGTGCACAGTGACACCAAGAGTTTCGTTAAATTATAGCACCGCAAACCCAAACAAAAGGCCAGCTTCGAGTTATAACGCCGTTATTAATCAATAAAATTATTGACACTCTAGGGACTTCGGTGTTATTTGGTCATTCATACTGATTTCTTTTTTTTTTTCTTTTCCAATTGTGGTACGCAT